GCTAAGACGTGTCTACACTGGTCCCCCCCCCGGCCCCGCCACTCCCAGCTGCTCTTGTCGCTCACAGTGGACTTTTCTGTGTCGAGCCTCATGCGTTTCTTATCTACGTAACCGTCTCCCAGTGTTGGATTTGGGAGAAGAATTTGTTTTTTAAAAGTTTTTTAAAAATATATTTTTATTGATTTTTTACAGAGAGGAAGGGAGAGGGATAGAGAGCTAGAAACATCCATGAGAGAGAAACATCAATCAGCTGCCTCCTGCACACTCCGTACTGGGGATGTGCCCGCAACCAAGGTACATGCCCTTGACCGGAATCGAATCTGGGACCCTTGAGTCCGCAGGCCGACGCTCTATCCACTGAGCCAAACCAGTTAGGGTTTGTTTGTTTTTTTTTAACAGGAGCAAAACAAATTTAATTTTGTACGTTCAAGAGCCCATGAAACTATGAGACTCAAAGAAGTGACCACAGCAGGAGGCCTTTCTACTTTTAGACAAAGAAACAATAAATTTAGCCCGGCCGCCGTGGCTCGGTGGTTGGGCATTGAGCTATGAACCAGGAGGTCACGGTTCGATTCCCGGTCAGGGCACATGCCCGGGTGGCGGCTCCATCCCCGGTGTGGGGGGTGCAGGAGGCAGCCGACTGATGACTCTATCATTATTGGTGGGTTATTGATGGGAGAACTGTAGTCCCTCTCCCTGAAACTGTCCGATGCCGCCAAGGGAAGGCAGGGGATGGGGAGGCCGGTCACAGGGCTGCGACCCGCGTGGGAACCCTTACCGGAGCCCGCGATGCTGGTGAGCTTGCTGCGCTCCAGCGGGGGCGCCCACTTCGCCCAGATGGTGAACTGACCTGTCCATGCCATTCCCTGAAATGAAAACCGTTCAGACCTTCGCTCTCCAGCAGGACTCTGGAGTCCATCCCCCACCCCCCGGGGGAGAGCGCCTCCGGTACCTGGGCCATGCCCTGGGCGACGCGAATCACCATCACCAAGCTCACACCCAGGTCAGCGGCCAGCGGCGTGCAGAGGCTGAGCAGGGAGGAGGCCAGCAGCCCCGCCCCCAGCATGTGCTTGGCACCAAATATCCCCGCCAGGTATCCGCTGGGGATCAGAGTCAGCAAAATCCCGTAGCTGATGGAGCTGAAGAGGATGCCCTGGGTCTCAGGGCTCCACGCGTAGACGGAGGTCTGGAAAGGAGGAGAAAAGGGAAATTCGTTGCTGAGAACGGGGGCTTCCCAGCCAGAGAGGCTTGTGGTTGGTGGCCTCCCATGAAAGGTCACATTTGGTTTCTCTCTCTTTTTTCTTTTTTAAAGTCTAGCTTAAATATCCCACCGTTTCAAAAAAAAAACTAATTATATGCCTAATTATTTTTAATATATTTTTATTGATTTCAGAGAGGAAGGGACAGGGAGAGAGAGAGAAACATCAATGATGAGAGAGAATCGTTGATCAGCTGCCTCCTGCACATTCCCTACTGGGGATCGAGCCAGCAACCCGGCACGGTGCCTTTGACCGGAATCGAACCTGGGACCCTTCAGTCCGCAGGTCAATGCTCTATCCACTGAGCTAACCAGTTAGAACCCTCCTTTGCTCCTCTCCGAGGAAGGAAAGGCAGAGGGTGCGAAGGAGAAAAGCGATGAAGAAAGGGTTGCACAAACGGGCGGCCAGAGGGGTCAGCGAAGGAGACGGCGAGAGAGGTTCCATCAGCAGAAGAGCTCCCTTGCACTATTTTGCTTCTGGTCAAAGTTGGGTGACATGCGGACCCTCATTCCAAAGGGTAAGGGAGACACAGCGTTCCTGGGCCCCCATCCACTCAGTCCCTAAGAGCAGGTCAGGAGCGATGGCCACCTGCGCAGAACTGGCTTCCTAGACCAGGAGTGTGGCCACCTTCCTCTCCCGAGGCGACACGATAAATGGCTGGTGGTGGCCGCTGGACAGGAAACATCGTGGTATACATGGAGGTACAAACAGCGTAACTGTAGAATACTGTCCACTTAAAGTAAATAATGGCCCGGGTTCTCTCTCTCTCTCCCGCCCTTCCTCTCTCTGAAATCAATAAAAGTATATTTTAAAAATAAAATAAAATCCATGCTTCTCCATCCACAGAATTGAGATCGAAGCCTTCCCTTCACACTGGGGATGCCCGCCCGACAAAGGGCTGCTCTCCGTCCCACTCACCCCTGCGTGGAATTCCCCGCTGGGCCCGCTGGGGTCCTGGAGGGGGCCGGCGAGATGGCCGTCCGCGGAGGCGTTGGCCGGGGCGGGCTGCTGGGTGCTGTTGACCATGGCGATGATGGCGATGCTGAGGCTGACGCGCTGGGTGATCATGCTGAGGTTGGAGAGGTGCATGACCACGGCCAGCCCGTAGCGCAAGGAGCAGAAGTCCGGGCCTGGGAAGGACGGGGAGAAAGTGGGGGCTCCTGGCGGCGATCGCTCCTCCCAGTGAAAAACACACCACAGGCCCGGCCGGCGTGGCTCAGCGGTTGAGCATCAACTTATGAACCAGGAGGTCGGGGTTCGATTCCCTGTCAGGGCCCCTGCCTGTGTTTCGGGCTCGATCCCCAGTGTGGGGCGTGCAGGAGGCAGCCGATCCATGATTCTCTCTCAACATTGATGTTTCTCTCTCTCTCCCTCCTTCCTTCCTCCGTGAAATCAATAAAAATATATTTAAAAAAACAACAACAACAAAAACACCACAGTCCCCCTCTCTCTTTTCACACCCCCCTCGTTCCTTCCCTTTAGTCGGCTTCAGGCCCTGAATCTGGGATCCCATCACCAGGCAAAGCCACGACGGGAAGCAGATGATAAACATAGAACGAGCTACATGATGGCACTGACGCCCATTGTTCCCAGACGAAGTGAGGGGAGGGGGGGAGGGCGGCAGAGCCCGCCCACAGCACCTCCCCCAGCTGCCAGTCAGCCCCATCTGGTTTGCATATTCATTTACCAAAAAAATCTTGCAAGTTTCGACTAGACAGCCGGCTGCCTTTGAATGAAGCTAGTCACACACCCAGGATCTTCTTTTTAGGCATTTTTTTTATTTGTTTGTAGAGAGAGGGAAACACCGGTTTGCCCTGACACTTATGGATGTGCTCATAGGTGGCTCTTGCATGGGCCCTGAAGGGGACCGATCCGGCCACCGTGGGGTCTCAGGCCGATGCTCTACCCAACCCAGCGTCTTCTTTGCACGCACCTGAGCGTAAATAGTTTTGCTTATTTGGAGAATTTGGACTAAAGAGAAACAAGAGAGAACCTGGGAGGAAATAGAGGAGAACACAGGGTGTCCCCCCAAAATGTCTACGCACTTTGAATATGTTAGAGTGTGTGCGCATTTTGGGGGACACCCTGCGTAGTGGAAGAAATCCTCGTTCATGGCCAGGTGGCTCAGGGATGGGATGGGTCGCCTGGAGAAGAATTATTTCCTTATTCCCGGAGATTTCCCAGCTCAGGGGACACAGCCAGCTCCCTGGCAAGGACCCCATCGCAGGAATTCATGCACGCACTGAGGGTTTCTATAAAATGACTTTTTCAGACCCATTCCATTCCTTATGTCCTAGGACTCGCTGATCGCTGGGCTGAATTTCTGGCCCATAACTCAGTGGGGCTCCCTGAGGAAGAGGCAACAACAGACGACAGGGTGAGGGGCTGGAGCGGGTCCCACTGTCCACGGAGGCGCGATGGGAGGAGGAGGGGAGCAGAGCAAGGAGGTGCCGGGGATGCGGGACACCCGTCCGCCCTTCCACGCGGCAGCGGCCAGCACGGCAGGTGGCGTTACCTCTCCTGGCAGATGGCTTCTCGTCCATGGGGCTCCTCCGGGAGGCGGCAGGGACGCGGGACACCCGTCCGCCCTTCCTTCCACGCGGCAGCGGCCAGCCCGGCAGGTGGCGTTACCTCTCCTGGCGGATGGCTTCTCGTCCATGGGGCTCCTCCGGGAGGCGGCTCCGCACGTGGGGGCAGAGGCGCCCCTGCCCTGAATCTCTTTCGCCGCGACAGGCTCTGATCTAGGGGAGGACAAGCCAACGCAGGACCCACAATCACTTCCCGCGTTCCCGCTGCCTGCTCTGGGCATCAGCAAACCCTTTGTTTTGTTGTTGTTATTTTAAAATATGTTTTTATTGATTTCAGAGAGGAAGGGAGAGAGAGACAGAAACACCAATGATGAGAGAGAATCATGGATCGGCTGCCTCCTGCACGCCCCCCACTGGGGATTGAGCCCGCAACCCGGGCCTGTGCCCTGACCGGGAATCCAACCGTGACCTCCTGGCTCATAGGTCGACGCTCACCCCCTGAGCCTCGCTGGCCGGCCCTGCCCATTTCCTATCACCATGTTGTTATTGCCCTCGGGGCTCCCCTAACATGCAGCCGCCTTGCGTCACCCTGTTGGCGAGCCTCCTCGTTTGCTCAGAGTAAATGTCCACATGGCTGAAGGAGCAGGGACCTGCAGGTCGAAGGGCGCGGGGACCCAGTCCGGGCCGTTCTGGGAACGAGGTCGGACAAAGCCAGAGCAGTTCCCAGGGCTCCCTGAGCCTTTTCACTCGTTTCCTCGGAAGCAGGGGCCAGTGCGTGGGAACGGGGGGGTCTGAGACGCGCCTCCTCACCCAGGACAGCTCACGGCGGCAGTGAGGACAGTCCCCAGATTGGCACCCGGGCTGTCGGTGACTGCAGGGAGGCTCGCAGCAGACACACGTTACTATAAACATGCTTTTGATGGTTCAATTGGCCTGAAACTTTTCACTTTAAACTTTTCCTTTTCTTTATTTTTTAAAAAATATATTTTATTGGTTTTTTACAGAGAGGAAGGGAGAGGGATAGAGAGTTA